ATTTTGAAATTGACTAGCAGTTTTTCTATAAATTTTCTTTGATTTATTTCTATCTTTTCCTCTATTCTACTAACATTTATTCCTAGAAAATTTTCAATCTGTCCCAAATCCTTTGCTTGAAAATATTGTTTCAATAGTTCGACTGTTTCTTCCACTCCTTTATTGTTTCCAACTACTAACATATCATCTACATATAACAGTACCTAATCATATTTTGAACGTTCAAACTTATTCTTTACAGCAAAATCGTTAAATGTATCCTTCCAAACTTTTGGTGCCTCTATGAGTCCATATATACAGTGCTGTATTTAATTTTAATACATGTGTTTTGACTCTTGATCCTAGTGGTTCATAAATGTATATGTCACTCTTTAATTATCCATTCAAAAAAGCAGTAGGAATATCTAAGTAGCTGTTGTAGTTCTTTTGCAATGCTATACCGGGTGCCCACGGGATTACTTTCCGGATGCCATTTTTTTATTTGTTCATCGATATCAACGAAACTTGGTAGGTTTGTTTTGCTAACGAAACGCCATTTTTGTGTATCCACAAGTTTTCCTGACTTCCGGTTATACCGGAAATTATCGAAACTTTTGATTCTCAAATGGCACACCCTGTATATTTTTTGTATTTTGAATTCTACAGATTGTTTTACGTTCTAATGTATCACTTTTAGATCGAGTTTTGTCCAAATTTCGTTTTCATTAAGTATAGAAAAAAAAAATATACCTACATAATAAAACAAAAAATATTTGAACGAAAGTTAAGAAAAATGTCGTAGTGTATTATATCGTTGGATTCGTCTTGAAATACTGTATTTGGTGATGTTATGAAAGTGCTATGTTTCTATTCTAGTTTTTGAGCCAGGGCAAAAATACTAAAATAATGAAGTTTCCAGCCCTCTATCAAAAAAGTTTACAAAGATAAAATTGAGTTTGTATTTTTCTGAGATTAAGTAAAGTATGTTGAGTCATTTTGGGATGATCATGGCACTCTAATTAAAAAATTAAAATTTAATTTAAAAACATAATTTGGACTAAACTCGATTCAAAAGTGGTGCATTAGGACGTAAAAGGATCTGCAGAATCCAAAAACAAAAAATATACCAGGGTGTGCCATTTAAAAATCAAAAGTTCTGGTCATTTCCGGTGAAAGCAGAAGTCAGGAAAACCTGTCATAAATGCAAAAAAATGGCGTTTGGTTAAAATATCAACCCTACCAAGTTTCGTTGATAGACAAATAAAAAAATGGCAGCCGGAAAGTGATCTCGTGGGCACCCGGTAGAATTAATGATCTTATTGTAGATATTCTGGCAACTGGTGAATATACTGGATTAAATGGATCCTCCTCCTTTATCTGAATTCCTTTTGCAACAATTCTGGCTTTTTTAATACCGTCTTTCTTTGTCCTAAATACCAATTTTGTCTGAATAGCAGTATTTTCTGCTGGTAAATCTGCTTCTGTCCAAGTATTGAGTTTTTCATGAGAATTTAATTCTTTTTCGATAGCTTGTCTCCATTCTTTTATTTTTATCGCATCTTTGTACTCTACTGGATCACTGTGATCTGTAGATATTAAGCAATATGCATTGTAGATCTTATAATCATTTAGAGATTTTCGTTTATTAATCTGTCCACCTCCAGATGTTTAATCCGTTGTTGGTATAGTTTCTTCTAGATTTTAATGACAATCCATTTCTTCTCCATTACTATCATTTGATTCGCCTTTATCTTCATAAACTTCAATCTCAATATTGTTTTCTCCTTCTTCTATACCTAGTTCTTTCTCAATCTGCTATTATATCTTTTTTGTCATTATTTTCATTTTCCAATATATTATAGTAATTTGTCTGCTTCTCATTAAACCTAACATCTCTTAAACCAAAAATCATATTCTTTTTATAACCCCATAATCGATATCCTGCTCTGCTATATCCTATCATTATGCAAGGTTGTGTACATACATTTGTCCAGTTTATTTTTTCTTGGTAAAGTTACTGCGCATGCTTGGCTTCCAAATACTTTCAACCTTGACATATGTCATTCTTTTTATACCATCTCAAAGCCGGTGGTTCACCATTATTCGCTTCAGTAGGTGACCTGTTTAGTTCATACGCAGAACATTGAATTGCTTCACCCCAAAGTTCCTTAGGTAGATTTGTTTCTGTGAATTTTGTCCTGACTTTGTCTAAAAGAGTTCTATTCATTTTCTCTGACGTTCCATTTTGTTGTAGAGTATATGGCATCGTGTACTCAAGTTTAATACCTTTATTTTTACAAAATATATAATAAATATATATAATATATATATATATATATATATTATTTTGTTTCGCGTTTTTCTTTGACCTTTGACAAAAATCTATATATATATATATATATAATAAATAAAATAATTTGAGATAAATTCTCCACCATTATATCAACCCTGATTCGTTTTGTTTTAAGCTCATGTTAAGTTTTAATTAGTTTAATAAAATCGGTAACATTCTGATCACTCTCACTTTTGTTTTTCAATAATTTAACCACCAAAAAAATTAGAAAAATCATCAAATAAAACCTGGAAGTATTTATATCCTTCTAGAGTAGGTGTTACTATAGGGCCCACGATATCTGAATGAATCAACTCACCAATTCTGACAGCTCCTTTAGACAAATATAATAAAGTTTCCTAGAACTTTTACCTTCTATATACAACTTTTACAAATTTCATTACTGAACGGCAACCCTAACTTCTTTAAATATATCTATTAATGTGACCTAATCTTTTGTGCCAAATATTTTTATCTACATCTTCATTTGTCTTGTAAACACATTCACCCTCTGTATAATTATTTTTCACATTACTGCATTCAACAGTTTTAAAATCTATATTTAAGAAGAATAAATCATTTTCTGAGTTACAAAAAAATGCAGAATTATTTTTGGAAAGAATGGCACAGTTTTTACCTGACTTATTGTTAAAAACAACTTGAAAATCTTTTTGAAGTAATTTACCTATACTGATAAAAGATTATGTGACATACCTTCAACCAGCAGTGTTTCTATTGTTATTTCCTTTCTTTGACAAATTCCTTTGATTGTAGCTTTCTTTCTTGCATATAATATTTCTTTATCTTTGGCCGTCCCTATTTTAACTTCATGTTCCAGTTCCTTGATGTCTATTCTTCTAGCTCGCCCATTACCATGTGTTGGGTACATCCTGAATCTAAAACAAAACGATTTAAATTGCGTGATATATTTCCCATGTTCAATGCAATGAATGCAATTTCATCTGCCTGGTTTGCATGAGATGAGATCCTGCTTGACTTTGGCTATTATTGGTTCGTGGTTGTCCTCTACTTCTACCATGTGGATAAGGAGCCTGTATAAGTATTTTTTCGACCTTTAAAAATCCTCTAGATTGATTCTGATGACAGTCTGCAATTTTTTGACCAACTTTCCCACATTTATAACAATTGTATAAGGTTGTGTTTTGAAAGATGCTTCTAGCTACTACATTGGCCTCGTTTTGTTTTCAGCTTCATTTCTTCATCCAGCAAACGAGATTTCACAAAGTCCATAGTGACTGTACTGTTCATTGTTTTTATTGCAGTAATAACCGAGTCATATTGTTCATTGAGGGTTAATAGAAGGTGGCAAACTTTATCTTCTTCTTCTACTTTTGACCCAATGCTTTCCAGCTCTCTAATTATATTATCGAAAATCTGAAAGTGGTCCTCTAGCTTTTCAGTTATTTTGTGTTTAAGTGTCAGCAATCTTTTCTTCAGTGTAAGTTTGATAAAAACGCTTCTTCTTTGGAATACATCCTCTAAAGATTTTATCATGCCCTTGGTTGTTTTTGAATCCTCGATTATGTCTAAGTGTTTATCACTTACACATTGCACAATGATGGATTTCGCTTTCGCATCTCTTAATTTGAAATCTGCTTTTTCTCTATCTCCAGAAAAATCATCAATTGTCTTTTCTAGTGTATCTTCTAGTTGTTTTTCCCCCAATAGTGCCCCAACTCTATACTTCCAATTATTGAAATTTTGTGAGTTTAACTGTGATACTGTTGAGACATATATTTTTTTTTACTGTTACGTAAATGTTTAAATACCTACTGCTAATTTTAATTAGTCTTTACTCAACTGCAATATACCTCTTGTGTTGCTTGTATCTGGGAGTCTGGGCCCATAACCTGTTACGATTATTTTTGATGTTGAGGACTTGGGAATAATTAATACGATGTATTCCGAATTGATAATTTAACATTTATTAACCAAGAACTCAGCGTGGGACAAATAACGTGTCACATTGGCGGTATTTTCTTGACAACAATGACAACTTAAAAATAAGGTCATGTACACCAAATAAAAAAACTAAACTCTTCTTATCATAAATATATGTTGGTACAAAACTACATCAAGGTTTCTTGCTAAATTAAGAAATATTCTCAACACTAACCCCACTTAGGACACCATTAAAAAATATTCTTCCTAAGTATGATATCTTCAAATTAATTTTTTCCTAATTTTCACAGCCAAATGATCACAATTTATAATAACCGAGTCTCAGGCGGATTCCGTTCCTATCTTTATTTACAAAAAAAAAAAAAGTAAACTCGACGATATTTTTTCTTTAATTCTAAGAGAGAGAACATTTTAAGCAGCCACGTCGGAGAGCGCAGCCAGCTCATTAATTAGAGATTTTTAAGCACGAAATGATGCGCTTATATTAATTAATTAATATTGCTCCGTACGACGACGACGTGCCGTAAAAATACCCGCTAGGTATAATTAGTAATCGGCCAAATAATTAGTAAACGGAGCGGCGTGCGCAGCGCGACGTTGCGCCGTAAAGTTGCAGAGGGGAATATCGAAGGCGTATTCCGCTGCGCCATTGGGCGACGGTAAACATGGCAGGCGTGCCTGTCAATCAACCGGATAGAGTGGGGAGGCCCCCTAAGAATGGACTGGGCCGGTTTTCTCTAAAACACAACACAGTGTCGCACCGGACATCGGGAAGGTGTCAGTAGTGAATACAGTGTGTTAAGTGCGTTAAGTGTTTTTAAGTGATTCCGTCAAACTGTACGCGTCGTCGGGAGAAATGTTGACGATGGAAACGGACCTCAAAGGAGGCAGTTTACACGCCACGATGCCTCCGCATCACGGTCTCCAAGGTTATAGTTCGTTAAACGCTTTAGGACAACCTTCGATGCACCAATTGAGCCACCAACATCCGCACCAAATCCACCACCAGCCGCAATTGCATCAGCCGCAACAGCAAAATCACCATCAGCAATCCGGTACGGGCCACAATCAAACTAATAACAATAATAATACGACCAAAGCTCAAAATATGGAACGCGTCAAGCGTCCGATGAACGCCTTTATGGTGTGGTCGCGCGGCCAACGCAGAAAGATGGCTCAGGAAAATCCGAAAATGCACAATTCGGAAATTTCGAAAAGGCTCGGAGCCGAGTGGAAGTTATTAAGTGAATCCGAAAAAAGACCGTTCATCGACGAAGCTAAAAGGCTGCGCGCCGTGCACATGAAAGAACACCCAGACTACAAATATCGTCCCAGAAGGAAAACAAAAACTTTATTAAAAAAAGATAAGTATCCGTTGGGAAGTTCGAGTTTGTTACCAACATCTGCCGATGGAACGAGAACGACAGCATCTGCTGTTCAACAAGTGACCGCTAGAGATATGTACCAGATGCCTAACGGTTACATGCCCAATGGTTACATGATGCACGATCCCACCTCATATCAACAACAATACGGTGGTGCTAACTATGCCAGATACGACATGGGCCAAATGCAACACCAAGCGTACATGAACGGCGGCTACGGAACTTACGGCACGACGGCCTTACCTCAAGGCTCGCCCTACGGCATCCAGCAAGCCAGTTCGTCGCATAGTCCCTCAGGATCCAGCATAAAATCAGAACCAGTGTCGCCTAGTTCAGGATTACATACGCCTACTCCAGGCGGCGGCATTAAACGCGAATACGTCGGCGGACAACCGACTCAGCAGCAACAAGGTGACCTCAGACAAATGATCAGCATGTACCTGCCTACCGACGGTTCTCAGCACATACAGCACCATCAGTACAGTGCGTCGCCGGATCCCATGGGTCCAACGGGACCTTTGGCACCTTTGACGCACATGTGAGAACCGCTATTCGCGGCACAGGAACTCGAAATGCCGCATATTTGAGGCGAAAATGTGATGTAAATTTTTTTTGGACGTTTGTATATAGTTTATTGTATTATTTTTTCTTTCTTTATTTTAATTAATTCTTTTATCGGTTCATTTCGAAAACCGCTACCAGTATTTCTCCGATAATAATTTTTCTAATCGAAGAGAGGATTATAAGGTCTTCTATGGGGGCAACAAATACCATGTAAGTCTGGATTTTTCAATATATTTGTAGTTGTTGCTTAATGATTGATTTTTTGTATATTGCTCAAAGCTTTTTTTAAAAATAATTTTCCTATTTGCGCAATACTGTCACACTATTCAATTAATTGAACGCACAAATAATGTCTGCCGTCATCAGTTTGATTTCAAGAAATAAACTTCAAAGTTGCAATTTATTATTTCAAGGTATTTCATTTCAAGCCAGGTAGATGAGAAAGGTGTAAAGTCATCAGTGGACACATATACTTTGGACCTAAAAAACATAAATGTTATTGGTCTGGGGAACAGATGATTAGGTACCAATATTAGGGTATCAATGTCAGGTAAACGCTTATAGTCTATTTCATTGCAGTCGATAGCTCAAATCCAGGGATAGGGCTACCTATATAAAGTGATTGTAAAACCATTGGGTTTACAATGACTTTATGGTCCTAAACCTCGATTTGAGCTATCAGCTTCAGAGAAATAGACTATAGAAGGGCGAGAAACTAAGGAAACTTAAACGACTTTGGCCAATTCGAAGTATTTTTTTTAAATTCTCTTTTATTAGTCATTAATACCCTTAATTTTTTAATTCCTTAGTTTTTTACCCGTTTGAATGTGATACTTGGAATTGATATCCTCTGATAATGAAAATTTTCTGTGCAATTTTTCTACAAAGTCAAACACAGTTCATTTTCACTATAACTCATATTGAGCAAGTAATAAGACATCAAAACATGAACTTATTTATCAAAATCGTAAATTGTGATTTTCTTTTATAATATTTTTTTAGCCATACCTACCTTAACTATCAGAGTTTTTGACCCTTATACCTTATAAATAGCTGTACTAAATTAATACTAAAATAGGCGCTCAAGGACTTTATTCTCGAAACAGGGCAGCAGCGTTCTCATGAGACCGAAGGTTCTGTCTTCGTCATCCGTATTCATATTGTCATAACACTGACAATGACAGAGCAATCGTTCTCATGAGAACGGTGTTCCTAGGTTTTGAGAATAAAGTCGCAGGTTAGGTGAACTAATAAACACATAATTTGCTCAGTGTAATGAAAATCTGGTTCTGTTTTGCAATTAATTTTCTAAAGTAATTTCCATGTTTTTTTTAAATCAAAATCTGCATTTATATTCCCATTATCTTCATTCTTTTGTTATACTTTTTCAATCATTTTTCACCTCATCACTATTAACAAATTCATAACCACTTTTCAGTTTTTCCTTTTTCTGGATCAGATCAAATTCATCATTACGAACCTTTTTTTCAGATTTCCAGGTAATGAATTAGTGAATAATAGTAGATGCTCATCTACTGTATCATTTATTGATAAAATTAAATCATGGTTTCTTATGCAAAAAGCTTCAAAGTTGAGATTCGCCTTAAAAATATGCATGACAAAAACAATTAGAGTCTTGTTGAACATTTTTTTTCCACAATTCAAATCGTTTATTGAGAAGATTTGCCTAGGAAGAAAAAAAATCTAGAGTTTCTACAGGGTGTTCCCGTTCAACTGGTCGAGAAAGCTAGGATATATAGAGGAACCATAGAGAACTGGTTTGAGAAAGGACACCGATGGTGAGAAGTGCGTTATTTCCAAAATACAGGAAATTTAAACAACTCCCCTTTCATGTCATCTGGAGGGCTAATACTAGGCCGTTCAAATTTTCAGGGATTATTGATGTGGGAATGATATTCAAAAATTCGTATTATGCACCCCCATTTTCTACCTGGAACCATCCAGAAAAAAAAAATATTTAAAACAAATATCATTCCTACATCAATAATCCCTGAAAATTTGAACAGCCTAGCATTAGCAGTCTAGATGATATGAAACGGGGTTGTTTAAATTTCAACACCCTGTATTTTGGAATCGATGCACTTCCGACCATCAGTGTCCCATCTCAAACTAATTCTCTATGGTTCATTTATATACTCTAGCATTTTTGACCAAATGAACGGTGACACCCTGTATCATAAGCCACTTATTATACAGGGTATTCAGAATAACTTGAAGTATATGAAGATTTTGGAAACCATTGAAGATACACGTTGGACCGAATGGGGAAAAAGTTGCGCAATCAAGTGTCTCCAAATAATCTGTCATCAACTTAGCAACAGATATATAGGGTGAAAGAAAACGTATGTTTTATAAAATAATTCTTATCCTGTTTATTATAAAAGATATAATCAAGACATTTCCAGAATAGAGGTGTAGGACTGGACATTTAATGTACAGGGTGGTCGAAATCGCACACTTTCTTATGGAAACACATTTTAATATTTTTAGAGATAGAAAAAAATGGGCCCAGGTGTCTGAAGCTCAAATTGAATGAGAAATTCGATGGCGGAAACAACATTCTGCTATCTCGAATTTTGTCGATTTCTTCAATACCCCATAACTTTATTATTATAAAAGATAACTGAGTATGGTTAAATGTTTCTTGGGACACTTTTTCACGTAGAATACATCACGATAGACAATTCTTATACAGGGTGTTTTGTTTTTTTTATACGACATCAAACTCAATTTTATCATTTGAACCACCCTATATATTTTGAGGTTTTTCGGAAAAGCATAAAATTTTCTAAATTCTGATATGTTACTTTTTATATTTATGTTAAATATTGTACAGGGTGTCCTAATATCTCCGGAAGTATTTGGAATTTATCAAATTTCAAAACGGCATTTTATTGACCATAAAATTGCAATTTTGCTTTAGTTTAACCAACCCTGTATTTCTTACCGTTTCCAAGATCCCAATGGACAAACGGACATCCCGTATAATATTTAGCATAAATATAACAAGTGAAATATCAAAAGTTAGGAAACGTTTTTTTAAAAACCTCAAAATATACCTATAGGGTGGTGCGTATGTAAAAAAATGAGTTAGGTTTCATATAGAAAAAACCTAACACCCTGTATAAAAACTGTCTATTGCAATAGATTCTACATACAAAAGTGCCCTGAGAAACATTTTACCATAATTAATAATAGGAAAGTTATGGGTCATTAAAGAGTTATATTGGCCGTGCAATAGGACAAGCAGTATTTAAATTAGCCCTATTTTGACACCTACGCATGCGCATTTGGGTCTGAAAATAGGGATTCTCTTAATAACGCTACTGCTTGTCTTTATTTGTGTATGCTTAGTGCGAGGCAGTACCTAAACTTCCCTTATTTCAATATTTCTGACATTTTTGACGACTTTGACGTTTCGCTTTTCGATGATGACGTAATTTTACTGGAGAATTTGTTTTTTACAATAGTTTTTCATTTTACTGTAGGTAACATCAAAAAATGAGTATCAGCAGAAAATCACGAACAAAACTATACACTTTTTGAGGTTGAAATTTATAATCACCTATCAGCTGTCAAAATTATGAATACAAAATAAGATAACACCTACTACAGTCTTCCAATAACTGTTATTTTCTTGGAATAATAGTGCTGATGCACCAATAAAATAACGTAGATCCTTGATACTGCGAGGCAGTATTTAATAGTTCCAATAACTCTCTATTGAAGAGCGGCCAAACGATAAGAGATAACAGAATTTTGTTTCCACCATTGATTTTCTCATTAAATTCCAGCTCCAAACACCTAGGTCCACTCTTTTCTATCTCTAAAAATAAAGGGTGTTTCCAAAAGTGGTCCAATTTGGACCGCTATAACGCATTACCTTCTTTATTGCTCTGTATATCCGTTGGTATTCCGAGTTCAAAAAAGTTGATGACAGATTATTTGCAGGCACTTGAAAGCGCATTTTTTTCCCCACCCGGTGTCTTCAATGATTTCAAAAATCCCCATGTACAGGGTGTCCAAGATTCGATGGTTTTAGCGGGTTTCGGGTATCACTTGCGAGCCTCAATTTTCAAGAGAAGTTGACCGGTGACACCCGCACCTCGATATCTCGATGCGTTTTTAAGCTACAAGAGGAAAAATTGACCAAATTCTCATAAATAAAAAAGTTATAGCCCTCCTGCCAACCTCCAAACTTTTCAAAAACACCTCGTAGCATAAGAACGAGTCGACACATCGAGATGCGGTTTTCATCAGTTAATTTCTCTTGAAAATGGAGGCTCGCAAGTGAGGGTCAGATTTTTTTCATTTTCTCTAGAAATACCTGAAACCCCCCAAAACCATCGAATCTTGGACACCCTGTAAAGCTATAATACAGTGGAGCTACATAATTCTGTCAAATTCAAAGGCATATATAGTTTCTTCTACAAATAACTTCGTTAAGATTTACATCCATTTAAAACATATTTGGAGGCCTCTAGCTCAAAAACGATTAAACCTCTATAATAGAACATAAAGGTGCCTCTTCTTTCAAAAAATCGAAAACATAGTTTCTTCTACAAAAGGGTCCAAATTTGAGATTTGTACAGTTTCATGCTTCTCTATACTCAAAAACCTTTAGCTCAAGAACGATTAGAGCTCTGTAGAAAAAAATAGAGCATTTTAAACTTGAAGACTTTTGTAGAAGAAACTATGCTTTGGAATGTCTGTTGTGATCATAATTCCTAAGTGTAGTTTCTCTATAAAAACCTTGAAATTTGATATTTGCCTTTAAAAAACATTTTATTTGTACTTTTCATACCTACAGAGGCTTTTCAAACTAGAAAAAAGCTCTTTATACAAAATATAGAGCTTTTTGCTTTCAAATTCATAATCATAGTTTCTCTTATAAAGCTTCAAATTTCGAGATTTTACTTTAAGATACATTTTTATGAACCTTAAAATCATCTAGCTCAAAAACAATAACCTCTAGAGAGCATAATCTACTATTTTCCTGGCTCTTTTCTTTATGAAACATCCTGATAAACGAATCTTTGCTTTAGAAAAACTCAAAAAATTAAACAATTTCTGTACAGATTTTCTCCAAATAAGTAGAGGTTTTTGAAGTTGAGAAACTTTTACCCTTACAGGGTTAAAACTTGATGATTTTGTAGACAATTTATTGAAAAAATCAAATGCGCTACTTACAGGGTGTTTCAGAAATGTTTCTCTAAATTATCACATAATGAGTACATTCAGGCGGTGCCAGCGGCTTAGTTCAGCCACTCAGCGGGAACTCAGTGAAGCTATTTATTTAAATCACGTTCAAAAACTTTCATTCAGGTAAAAAAATATTGAACAAAAATCACAATTTCCGAATTTTCCGATATTCCAATACAGTTCTTTTTTCGAATTTGCCGCCATCTGCCACGTCAAAATTTAAAATTATGTTCATAAATATACAGGTTATCCAGAGTAACTTGGAGCAGATGGAAATTTTGGAAAGCATTGAGGATCCTACAAGGTGAAACAAACAGGGAAAAAGTTGCGCAATCAAGTGTCTACAAATAATCTGTCATCAACTTCTTTGAACTCGGAATAACAACGGATATACAGGGCAAAAAAGACAAAAGTGCGTTTCATAAAAACCTTTATATCTTGTTTATTAGAACATACAATCAATGTATATCCGTTGCTATTCCGAGATCAAAGACGTTGATGACAGATTATTTGTAGGCACCCCTGTATTTTCAATGGTGTCCAAATCCCCACATACTCCAAGTTATTCCGGACACCCTATATAGCACAGCGACTGGGTATGGTATAATTGCACTTAGGGCGGGTATTATAAAACTATTTTAACAGATAACTTACTATGAGAAGTAACGTCATTTCAGAAGTTAACTTTTAGTTATTTTGTAAACATAGTTTTATAATACCCGCCTTTAGTGCGCCCTCTCTTCGACAGATGACGCTTGAAGTCTCTCTGTCAAATGTCAAAAAACTGCGCACTAAGTACAATCAAATCGAAATCGCCCTAAGACTCTTTGGATAAAATGCATCAAAAACACTGCACTATGAAATCGATCATTATGGTAAAAATGTATATAAATCAAATAAAGCAAACTAATTGACGTGACAAACAGTGCTGTTTGGTATATAAAACACATTTCAAAGTTATTTTTCTATAACAAGTGCGGAAAGTGATACTTTCGGCGTGCGAGAAAGTCACTTTCCGTACGAATACATACTTCAAACGTCAACTGTCAGTGCAATGAAATCGAAATCGCCTTCAAGTAAAATTGTTTTTCGACATGAAATTATTTGTGCATCAAAAATTGAATAGTAAAAAGCAGTTAACAATATCTTCATTTTTACATTTTTTATATTAAAATG